TGTTGGTGGGAATGTAAATTGATGCAGCCACTATGGAAAATGATATGGAGGCTCCTTAAAAAGATTAAGAATTGAACTACTATATGATCTAGCAATTCTTGTTCTGGGTATCTAACTAAAAAATATGAAAACAGTAATTTTAAAAGATTTATATACCCCCTATGTTTACTGCAGCTTTATTAATAATAGCCAAGACATGGAAATAACCTAAGTGCCCATCAACAGATGATTGGATAAAGAAGATGTGGCATATATATATACAATGGAATACTATTTAGTCATAAAAAATGATGCAACATTGCCATTTTTGACATGATGAATCTTGAGGTAATTATGCTAAGTGAAATAAGTCAAACAGAAGACAAAAATCTTATGACTTCACTCATATGTGGAATATTAAAAAAGCAACAAATGAACAAAATAAACTCATAGATTCAAAAATCAGAATAGTAGTTAACAGAGAGAAAAAAGATGGGGGAAGGTTAATTGGTTAGGGGGTCAAATATATGATATGGGAAGGAAAATAGACTTTGGGTTATGAGCACACAATAGAGTATACAGATAATGAATTCTAATATTGTACACCTGAAATTATTTAATGTTATTAACCAGTGTCATCTTATAAATGTAATTTTTATAAAATTTACCATTTAATGGAACTGGAGAGCATTATGCTAAGCAAAATAAGCAAGAGAAAGATAAATATCACATGATCCCATTCATTTGTGGAATATAATGAACAACATAAACTAACAAAACTAGAACCAGAGTCATAGAAGCATCAAATAGACTGTCCAACCTATGAGGGAAAGGGGAGGTTAGGGGGTAAGAGATCAATCGAAGGACTTGTATGCATGCATCTGAGCATAACCAATGGACAAAGATGGAGAGGGGGAGAGGGGAGGGCATGTGTTGGGGTTTGGGAGCAGCCAGGGAGAGGTCAATGGGGGAAATTAGAGATGTATGTAATACATTAAACAATAAAGAATTTAAAGGGAAAAAAATTAAAATTAAAAAAAGAGAAAATAATTTACCATTTATGAATACATATAGTACTAATTTCATTATTTTCTTCCCAAAGTGTTGGTATCTATCAGAGCTAATTTCTATTATCAGCATGTATTTGATTTATTGAAAAATATTTTTAATGGCAGTTCTTACTTATCCAAGGCTATTAACATCCTTGCTGTAAGAGTAGCAAAGTGAGTGCTGGATTCACTACAGACTCGCATAATATCTTGTAAGCAGTAAAAAATTGGGCATCCTGGAGTATATGTATATTTAGTATTATCTGGAAAAGAAAAATGAAGAATTATGCCATCATATAAAAGGTTTACAACGGCATATTTCTTATTTTAAAGAATATGTTTATAAAAATTGTTAATTATAACATAAAATATTTTAGATTTCTTTTTTAAAAAATATATTTTTATTGATTTCAGAGAGGAAGGGGGAGGCAGAAAGAGATTCAAACATTGAAACTGGCCAGGGTTATTTTATATTTCAAATTAGAAGACCTGCAGTCAAGTGATGGGCAGCTCTGTGACCTTATCCACTTGGGTGAATACAGCATTTATAATCTTGGAAAATTAAAGAAATTATTTTCTCTTTCTCAACAATATTATAAAACTGATTAATAAGATTTCCAAAATAATTTAAAATACTGAACTTTTCCCCCCGAAGTATGGCTGGGAAAAACATTAATTTTAGTCTAGAAGCCTGAATATTACTTTTAAATCAAAACATCTTTGTTTAGCCCTACCTGGTTTGGCTCAGAGGAAAGAGCATCAGCCTGTGGACTGATGGGTCTTAGGTTCGATTCCCGTCAAGGGCATATGCCCAGGTTGCAGGCTCGATCCCCAGTAGGGAGCATCCAGGAGGCAGACGATCAATGATTCTCTCTCATTATTGATGTTTCTATCTCTCCCTCTCCCTTCCTCTCTGAGTCAATAAAAACGTATATTTAAAAAAATACATTTAAGTAACAAATTTCTCCATCTTATGTTAATTAAAACATGTATTTTATATAACAGTATTATGGAGTAACTATGAATGCAAATTCCTAAATAGATTTTAACTTAGCATGTAAGGCACAAAAAGATTTAGATAAAACTTGAACTTTACCTTTGACAACTGATGGAACAATAAACAATGCTGCTTCTCTGCCCATCTTCTCCCCATCCAAAGGAAATTTCTTCAGTAGTACTACTCGTTTTCCTAATCATTTTTTGAAAAGTTAGTAAAGATAAAAAAAATAATGGGCTTTTATATTTGATAAATTACTGAGAATTAAAATTACTTCAAAAAGGCTTTAAGGACAGTCTATTTTTATAATATGCCCTAATAAAAACTGATAATTCTGATAATGTTCGTTTTGTGGACAATCAACGAGTACACTCATGGTCCTGGTCTTGATTCAATAGAAGGAGTTTCCTATGCCTGGCAAGAAAAACTGTCCTGCCAAGGACTGTCAGAGCAGCTCAACAGTAAGGCAATCTGCAGGTTCAAAAGGCATATAACTCCTCACTTGGCGGGGATGCAGATGTTAAGAACTTTACTACAGTCTAGGCTAAAGTGGGTGGTGTGTAAGTTGCAAAATCTTAAAAAGTTTAGCATTTCTTCACTTAATCTTTAACACCTGTCCTCAATTTCAGATTTTTATTAAAATACTAGAGGCCCGGTACACAAATTTGTGCATGGGTGGGGTCTGGCCACACACCCCAATGGGAGCCCAACAGGTCAAACCAGCAGGGGAGAGGCCGTGGGAGGTTGGGTGGCGGGCCTTGCCCTCGATTGCATGGGGGAGGCCGATTGGGGGTGGGCCGATTGGCTGCTGCAGTGAGCGTTATAGCTACCAGTCGTTCCAGCTGTTCGGTTGTTCTGCCATTCTTGTCACTAGGCATGCATATATATGTATGTATGTATGTATGTATGTATGTATGTATATATGATTAGGCTACAAACTATTGTTTTGAGTTGTAACCACCATTCTTTAGTTTATTTTCCTAATGTGGCAGCAAAGGAGACAAATAATAACCTACAAGTCTTGTACTCTAAAACCTCTCATCTTTCCAGTTCTAAGATACCTATGAAACTATGTTTCTAGCAAAAATACTTTGTATTTTAGTTTCATAGCACCTCTCTCCCCTTGGTTGTTCTCTCTAAATCATTAAAAAAATTAAAGTCAGGTTACTTTTTCTTTACTCAGGTTATATCTTCAAGGGGCTTAGCTGTACATTAAAATATTTTTCTGAGTCTCTTTAAAGTTTTTAAATGAAAAGGAGCATAACAAGAAATTGATTTTAATATATTTTTTAAATGTCTTTCTCCATAGGCATTTAAAGCAACTGTATTAAAGAAAGAGCAGCAGGAAATAATAAAGATTTATTAAAATTAAAAAAAGGAAGAGCATAAGAAAGAAAAAGAGAAAGAAACAAACAAGTTTTTTTTTGTTGTTGTTTTTTTACCTCTGATACCCTGGTTTGCAGGAGAAATTGGTTTGGTAGTTTCTACTACATAATCCAATATGCCTTGTGTTATTTCACTGTTGCCTTGAAGTTTAGTTTCCAACAAAACTTTCTTCCTCTTTTTTTTCTGCCCTTCAATGGGAACTTCGTGCAATAAAATCTTAAATAAAAAAAACAATAAGAGAAAGTTTAAATCAAATTTATTTACCCTAGAATATAAGCCAGCTGCATATTAGACACTAGTTGTATATTAAAATAATCTGGGAAGCTTTTAAAATAGTATTGATACCCAACTTCATCTCAAACCTATTAAATGAAAATGTTTAGGGTGTTGGGTCCTGGTACTGGAAGTTTTCAAGTTATCCAGGTGATTCAACAGTGCAGCCAGGATTGACAACCAGGATACAGAGCACTGCTAAAGCAGCAGCCTCCTGAGAACCCCTGAAATATTCTAATAGATTTCAGATAACTAACCATAAACAGTCATTTAAGCAAAATGCTACAAAAATTAGCTGGAGTTAGGTGAGATTAGAAGTACTTTATGATGTTTGGAATCTGCAGCATAGAAAAGATAACAATTCTATCCCCTCCCATCACATCTACATGTAAAACAGGGCGTGGCAAAAGTATATTTACAGTTGTGAATACACAAAACAGTTTATTCTTGTATTATTTATTAATTATTGTATCATTTTCCATACAAACAATTGTAAATCTACTTCTACTCCACTCTGTATAATTGAAGACTACAGAAAAGTAACTTAATCTCCTAAAACTTTACTAAAGGTAAAAAGATATTTTTTAGTGAACTGTTAAAAAAACAGTTCCTTGGAAGAATAAGAAAGAACAATATGTAGACTGTAATTTTGAATAAGCTGACTTTAAAATTTTTTTCTTTAATTCTGAGAGCCATTTCATAAATTGTACTAAAAACCAAATCTATAAATTATCTGGAAAACTCAAACAAGTACCTTTTTAAAAAATATATATTTTTATTGATTTTTTACAGTAAGGAAGAGAGAGGGATAGAGTTAGAAACATCGATGAAAGAATCATCGATCAGCTGCCTCCTGCACACCCCCTACTGGGGATGTGCCCGCAACCAAGGTACATGCCCTTGACCGGAATCGAACCCTGGACCCTTCAGTCCACAGGTCAATGCTCTCTATCCACTGAGCCAAACCGGTTTTGGCCAAACAAGTACCTTTTATTATCTAATAACTTATATGTATCAATGAATAGAAAAATGGTCAAAAATATACAGCAGAAAAAAAAACAGTGATGGGCAGAGATCTAGGGTTGTCAATTTTAGCTTGTCAACATCTAGGCTGTCAACAAGGATTTACAGGATATGATAAGACTACATGTAAATAAAAATAATAGAGAATGACATTCAATAGTAGCAATCAAATGTTAGCAGATTGAACTTACTTCATATGACTTAGCTTTGTATTCCCGGGAATTTAGACTGGCAGTATTCTTTGGACGAATAACAGCAACATAAGCATCTTCTATGTTTTCTGGATTCCCCATTGCTTTACAAAACAAACAAAGAAATATCTTGAACGATTACATTAAAGGACACATAATCACTTTGTAACGCTTCTAAATAACATTTTTATTTTTCTATCTTAGAATATATATACTACTTAAAAGGCAAGCCAGAGATGATTGATTATATCTTATCATTAAACTATCCAAAACATTAGCTTGTAACTTAAGACTTTTTTCTAATCTTTTTTTCCCTTTTCTGTTAAAGGTAAAAAAACAAACAAACAAAAAAAAAAAACCCCAACACAACATATTTTCAGAAGTCCATAGTTTCAGAAGTCTTAATTGCATAAAAATCTTCCTTTCATATTCAAAAAAGTGATACAACCCTAACCGGTTTGTCTCAGTGGATAGAGCGTTGGCCTTCGGACTCAAGGGTCCCAGGTTCGATTCCAGTCAAGAACATGTACCCTGGTTGCGGGCACATCTCCAGTAGGGGGTGTGCAGGAGGCAGCTGGTTGATGATTCTCTCTCATCAATGTTTCTGGCTCTTTGTCCCTTTCCCTTCCTCTCTGTAAAAAAATCAATAAAACGTATTAATTAACTAAAAAGTGGTACAATTATAAGAATGTCTTGTAAATACTAATATCGGCTTTAAATACTGATTCAGAATATTAAACACTTATTTTCCAAAAATTGCACAAAGTGCATGTTATTTGGTTAATAGTTTGGAAGCTGTAACTAGGTAGCTGCTGCCATTGACTTTTCCAGAATCTTTAGAGAGAACTTTGTTATGTGACATTTGAATGAGTTAAAGGTATAGTTTATAATTTCCTTTGGAGGTGCCTGACACAGTCAAAAACATTTGGTTAGTTGATAAAAGCTTTCTGACAATTTGTACTACTAAAAATATTTTCTACTTCCAGAAATACAATTTTTTTCTTCCCAATATGTATTATATATATATAGTCATATACATACATCTGTAGACTTTTTCCCCCAGACTAAATCTTCATTGAGCAATTTTCAATGAGTAACTGAATTTCAGGCACCTTCTTGGTTGTTTAATAGTTCTATGTTCTTAAGTGCTATTATTAAATGTTTTCATGACCAGACTAAAATGCATCTCTTTGTATTGAATATATTATATTTATCTTCTTAAATAAGCTTTTCTCATTTACATGCCAGCAAACTTTTTTAAAAAATTGATTTTTAGAGAGAGGAAGGGAGATAAAGGGAGAGAGGGAGAGAAAGGGGAGAGATTTAATGAGTTTATTTGAGAAAAGCATGATATCCCTAGCATACCTAAATAAGCTATATATTAGCTGTTACTGTGGTTCTGTAACCCAATTCTAAGGGGGAAACATGGGGTTAAGGGAAAAAAAGAAGATGATGGAATGAGTTGTTTTATATTGCTATAAAAATATTTTTGAGTTTCTGACATTTCCTCCAAATAAAATGAGGACAGCAAAACCGTGAAAAAACAAGATGCAAGAAGAGACGGTGAAGACGCACAAATTCTCCAAGAGTGAGATGAACATGGAAGTGAGATAGAGTTGGGCCCTGCTAGATCAGCCTGCCGGTGAAGCTAAAAGCAACGTGGAGAAAAAGCAAACAAAGAAAGCCAAAAGCCCCCTTTTAAAGGATGGAGAGAGGTGTGTAGCGAGGAGAGCCGAGCTGGAATCGCGTGCTGTGAACAGGTTTCCCACAAATGACAACAAAGCAATCCTTTGCCTGGGTGGGACGCTACCCCATCGCGGGGGAAGGATGTGCACGCCTCTTTGCTCAAAGAGCTGCCGCCCCCCACAAAAAGCGGCTTTGGCGAACTTGGAAGAAATAAATTCCTTGCCTGGAGAAACCAGATGTAGAGTTAGTCCAGCCTCCCACCTCTGTTTTTCTCGCTGGAGTCTTGGATCTTGCAGCTCCACGTCTCACCCGTGCGGGCGGCCGAGCACACCTCCCAGGCCGCTACATGCGCTCCCCTGGGTGGGACAGTCACCCTGGGGCGGAGGACAGTCACCTGGGGGCGGGGGGCCGTCCCCGAGGCCTCATTCCCCCCTTCCCTTCCTTTCTTCCTAGCGGCCCGGCCCCACTTCCTGTGGCAGGAAAAACGCTTTCTCGTCCCCCCCGGAGTTGCCGGATGGGTCCGGCCGCGCTCCCCTCCCCCGCGCCTCTAGAGCTCGGAGGTCTGGGACTTGAAGAATCTCTAATTGTCCTTCCCTCTCTTCGCACGTCAACACCATAAACTCCGCACCCTTCTCCCGAACTAGGGGGTTTCCAGATCATTCATAGGCGTTCGCTTTCATCCCGCTGCTAACCGGGGCGAGGGAATCGCTTCCGGGTTCACACCCGTGACAGCCTCGCGGCGGCGGCGGCGGCGGAAGAGCTTCCGGGTCGGCCACCGAGCCGCGGCCGTTACCTGCTGCTTCACGCCGGGGCCGCGGGCTGCGCGGGGCTGGCGGCGGCGGCGGCGGGAGGCTCGGGCGTCGGCGGTGGGTGCGCCCGCGGCTGAGCGAGGGGCGGGCGCGGGAGGAGCCCCGGGGCTGTGCGTGCGCGCGCGCGCGCCGGGCTGGAGCATGAGCCGGACTTGACCGCGAGGCGGAGGCGAGAGCCACCGCCCCCTCCTCCCCTCCCGCGAGAAAGGCGGCGCGGCGGCGGCGGCGGCGGCCGGCGAGGGATGGGGGGCGCCTGCTGACGGAGCTGCCTCCGCCGACGCCCCCGGCTCTCGCAGCCTTCCCCGCGGGTCCCCGGCGCGCACCCTCGGCCCCAGCAGCCTCCGCCCGGCGGGCGCACCCGGGCGGGCGAGTCTAGAGGGGCGCCCGTCCGGGTGGGTGGGGCAGGGAGGAGGGTAACTGAGGTCACGGACTCGGCGGTTGCGGAGCTGCGGGGTCCTCCCGACCCTCACCCCCACCCTCACCCTCTGCCTGGGACATAACCGTAAGTCTCCGCTTCGCGGCGCGGGTCTGTTGTTGGAGGCGAACTCAACCCATTGGGGCTCCTGGCTCCGCGCTGCCCGGTTCACGCCCTCCCCGGCTTCCTGCGAGCGCGCCTCCTGGCTCCCGGGGAGGGCGGCCCGTCTGCCGCCGTTCCTGCCGGCCCCTCCCGGAGAATGTGCCAGCCTCCGATCCTCCCCGTTCCGGATGCCTCTCCTGGTCCCTGTCCTCAAAGGATCTGTGTCTCCCTCCCCCCCACCCCCCTCTTTTCCTTACTGCACCCCAGGCTTCACAGCCCCTCCTTGGAGATGGGGACCGCGAAGGGATCTCGAGGGCCAGAGTCCTGAGCGGGTGGGTGGGAGTGCTCTGCGGGGCTGGGATGGGTGGGGATGGGTGCAGCTGGCTCGTGCAGAGATTAGTATTATTATTATTATTTTGGGAGCTTTTTGCCACCAAAACAAAAGAATGGGCCTCTTTCCTGGACCTTCATTCCTCTCCCTTCCCACAAGCTGTTGTCTCTGCGCTGCTGTTTTGAGCCTCAGGAAATTGGAACTAGAGTTGTAATCAAGCTTTCTCTCCTAAGGAGGTTTTTGGGAATTAGTCTCACGAGCTCGATTCGCACGGAATGGAATATTGAACAACCTTGTATTGAAGTAAAGAGCCATTCCATCGGGGCTTTCATAGTAAATCTGATAAGTGAATGTGAAAACGGAAGTCTGACGTTTCAAATGTGTTTTGGAATTTAGTTGTTAATTTACAAAGTGCGTGTGTGATGTGAAAATCTATTGGAAGTTTTTGTTTCGTTCGTGGTTAAAAAAAAAAATCCCACTAAAGTGATTTTTAAAGATTGTATCAGATTATTTTTGATAGGGTATTACTTTAAGTTTTTAATTCCAGAGAGGCCTTTTTAAAGATTTTTGACTTATTTGGATCAACCACTTTGGTGCGATGATCTTCCTGTTTCTTAGTTAAAAAAAAAAAAATTAATTGTATTTCCAGATTTTGGACGAGGCATTTTTCTCACTGAAAATTTGATTGGCTTTTAAAATTGCCACTACAGAAATTAGATTTAAAAATAATTTGAATGCTGTCAGTGACTGGACAATAGCTCTTACATGCCTTCATGCATTTGATACTTTTCAAGGCACCTTAGGAAGCAAAAGATCATTTAAGAATAACTTTATTCTGTATTGCAGACTTTTTGTTATTCTGTAAACTTCTGTACCATTGCCTGTTAGCATTGGTTTTTGTTACTAAAACCATTCTCATTTTGTTAAAGGTAGATGTGCCTGGTGATGATTTTTAGTTTGAAGTAGGCTCAGGAGATGTAGCTCCAGCTGTCTCTCTGGAAATGTGCTTTAGACGAGAGTCTCCGAGTCTTCGTGGCACGTCCCATCCTCCCCAGGTTCAGAAACCAAGCACTGTGTAAAGTTGAGTGTATTAAGTTCATAACATTGATCAGTTTCCAAATAAGAGTGTGGTGCTGCCCTGCTCCGTGGGCTCCATCTGTTGAAGCATTGTCCAGTGCACCGAAGGGTCACAGGCATCAGGTCAGGGCGCGTACCCAGGTTGAAAAAAAGAGTGGTGGCAGACAATAACTTTAAAGGTCTTTTTTTAAAAAACTCTAGTGAGCCCTATTATTCTTGGACGAAAGGTACGGAAGATAGGACTATATTTCCATATTACACTTTTTTCCTTGCCCACTGCACTGAGAATTTTGAGTCTTCAATACCAAGGTTTCTAAAATCCAGCAGCCTGTCTGTGCCTAAATGTGTGCTCTAGCAGGTGACTGCTGAGACATGGGAGAGTTTTGTTAGATACTCTTTTATACTTTTTAGTACTGCCCATTTTTGGAATAATTGATTTTCTTTCTTTTCTTGGGTTTGCTCTCGAACTTGTGAAAGAGAAATACGTGTTACAACTTGTAGTTAAAAGTTTAAGCTAATTTTTATGTATATATAGGTGGAAGAGCTATGAATTAAACTTATCTGATTCTCCTTGACTGGAAGTTAGAAAAGATTCATCAGTGTTTGGGGTACTTTTTCCATCTTTGAGGATGCACACATTTTATTTAGATAAACTTTTAAAATACTCTCTGATATTAGAATT